CTTTCAAGTGGGAATTTCCCATCTCTGGAGATCTGGATGTGGTTCAGGCTTCCACCTAAAGTCTTATGTATTGCAGAGGCTCCGCAGGAAGCCTCCTTCACTGGGCATTTTAGGTATTCCAATCAGTTATAGGCAGAAGACAGACTTACAAGCTTTCTATGGTGATGTTTTTTACTATTCCTTTTTTTCCTCCACCAATGTCTATTTTATAATATAATGCAAGGAAAACCAAGATTCAAAAGACAGCCAAGCATCTTAATATTATTCCCCCCTTCCCCCCATTCCAACCATGACTCCATCTCTGTGTTCAGTGCTGCGTTTTTAATGGATTCCAGCCAGCACCCCGAAGTACAGAACTCAGTGCTGAGGAAAAGTCTAGTTTGGCAGTCTTTTGTTCCAACAGAAAAAGCTTTTTGGTTTTTGAAAACTTTCAAGTAGAAAATAAGAAAAAATAAAAATCATAAACAGGGAGGGAGATTGCGCCATAAGATTATTAAGAACAGTGGTGTGGAAGTAACTCCAGGTTGGGGATCAGGAGATTTGGGCTCTGTCTCCAACTAGCTGTGACCTTGGTGCATCTCTCACCTGCTGGGCTGAAATGTTTATCAGTTATTGGCATGCTGTGAGGCACTTTGCAGGGGCAAAAATCTCATAGCTGCCTTCACGTCCAGTCTGCGGTCATACTTGGTATCATTTCTCTTCCGGGTAAAGATCACGAGCAGCCAGGAAGAAAGCCTACCTAGGGATTAGGCAAGTCCAGCATCTTTGGCCATGCTATAGAAGATGCCTCTAGCCTCAAGGAGGTTGGTTGGAGTATCAAATTCAGCTATTGTCCCCTTGTCCAGCACTAGGACCCTAAACAAAGAAGAGAAATGGTCAGGTTTCCATCTGCTGGAACCCAGCCTCGCAGTCTAGCCCTGCCCTCCTGGGGACTGCTTAGGCCCCGCAGCGATATGCCAACCCACCTACTTCAGTCCAGCCACCCAGCACGGCTGCTACACCACGTGTGCACGCTTGCAAGAATGGTTATTTTAGCTGCTCCCTTTGCTCTCCTGGCAAATGAAGCGATTTCTGGGATCAAACACAGGGAGGGACCTATTCATCTCTGCCAGTTGAGGCTCCGAAAACCTTCCCTAATGAGCCCTTCCCTTCTCTGGGGTCACAGGGCTTGGGGCGGGCTGTGTGCAGGGAGCTACAGGCCTGCATGAGGCCCCCGCGCACTTCCATCTGCTTTGTGCCAGCTCACAAAGACGCGGCGGGAAACCGGGCTGCAGTAAGGCCTGACGCTGGAATCTGGGGCTGCGGCTGCCAATCTGGCTGCCACTCATGGTGGGGCCCTGCCCCCCACAGTCAAGCTTGGGCCTGCGTCCGAGAACCTCTAGCCAAGAGAGTACCGGGAGCACCCGGTGCAGTCCTGTCAGACTGGCTCCACAGGGTGGGGCAGGAGAGGGCGGGACTTCCCTGAGGAGCCCCACCTTCTGGGCTCCAGAAACTTGTCTAGGAGGAGGTTACTGAGGACATCATGCTTAAGAGATTGCCTCCACCACCTCCTGCTGCCATCCCCAGAAAAATCTTCAGTGGCAATCAGAAGTGTGCTTTTAGGGTTAGAACTGAATGTTTTACAATGTTTCCATCCCGGTCCCCAAAGGCCTGAGGGGGCCTGACCTCTTTTAATCTTTACTTTGGATCAGCTGTCTCCTTTGCCCTCCTGCCACAGGGCCTTTGCATGTGTTGAATCTGCTGTCTGAAATTTTCATTTCCCTCCCTAACCCCACCCCAACTCTTAATCATCCTCTGGGGCCCAGATTGGGGGTGAAGGGGAGGAGGTGAACTTAGCTCCCAAGGCCCTGCTTGCTATATGGGGTGATTTCTGAGACGATCCCTGCTCATGCGCCCTCCCCTCTCTCTGTAAGTGTTTACTGAATGAATGAAGACCCACTGATGTGTTCCCACCATACTCCTTCAACACAGACTTGCTCAAGCCTCCCACCTCTTCTCCTTTCAGTCTCCCCACATGCATCTAAGGGGGCCAGCCTGTCAGCCCACTTCCATGGGCTCCCTAGACCCACATCAGCTTCCAGCACCACTCTTTGGCACTTGACACAATGAGGGAATATGTCATCATTTCTCCTTTTGAGTAAGTGGCCTATCTCCCCAAAGAAACCATAGGATTCCGTGGGCAAGACCACTCCCGAATCCTCTAAGAGTCCTACAGTAAGGGGACTGCAGAGAGACTGGGGAGGAAGTCACATTTCCCAGGTTCACCTGGACTTTACTGGCATCTTTTAATGGACTCCTGACAATGTTGTTGTTAGGTACCATTGAGTCAGTACCGACTCATAGCAACCCTATGTACAACAGAACAAAACACTGCCTAGTCCTGTGCCAACCTCACAATTATTGTTTTGTTTGAACCCACTGTTGCTGTCACTGTGCCAATCCATCTCGTTGGGGGTCTTCCTCTTTTACTCTGACCCTCTACTTTACCAAACATGATACCGTTTTCCAGGGACTGGTCCCTCCTGAAAATATGTCCGAAGTATGAGAGACAAAGTCTGGCCATTCTGGCTTCCAAGGAACATTCTGGCTGTACTTCTTCCAACACATATTTGTTTGTTCTTTTAGCAGCCCATGGTACTTTTAATATTCTCCTCCAACACCATAACTTAAATGTATCAATTCTTCTGTAGTCATCCTCATTCATTGTCCAGGTTTCACATGCATATGAGGTTATTGAAAAATACCATAGCTTGGGTCAGGCGCACCTTAGTCCTCAAACTGACATCTTTGCTCTTGAACATTTTAAAGAGGTCGCTTGATTTCTTGACTGCTGTTTCCATGAGTGTTGATGGTTGATCTGAGCAAACTGAAGTCTTTGACAACTTCAATCTTTTCTCCATTGATATGGATGTTGTTTATTGGTCCAGTGGTGAGGATTTTTGTTTTCTTTACGTTGAGATGCGACCCATACTGAAGGCTGTATGTATTTAAAGTCCTCTTTACTTTCAGCAAGCAAGGTTATATCATCTGCATATCACAGGTTTTTAATGAGTCTTCCTCCAATCCTGATGCCATTTTTCTTCATATAATTCAGCTTCTTGGATTATGTACAGATTGAATGAATATAGTGAAAGAATACAACCCTTGCATATAACTTTCCTAATTTTTTTTTTTAATGTTTCCTAATTTTAAACCACCTAACAATGATAGAGGCTCAGAAAGAGTTTGTACATTGCCCAAGGTAGCACAGCAGTTGGCAGCAGAACTGGGTCTGGGTCTCAGACCCCCTGGCTCCAGATCCAGCTTCTGATGGTGCAGCCAAGAGATGCAGATGGGTGTTGTTGTTAAGTACTGTCAGTTCCGGCTCATATCAACCCTGTATATTCCAAGGGTCAGCTGGTGGCGAGTACGTATCCTATAGCTCCACACCTGGACTCACACAAGCCGGGTACCATCCACCAATGCAGGGACCCAGGTCAGACACCTTCCTCAAGCTGCTTTCTCCCCTATGAAATGGTATGATGACATCCATCTCACAGAGCGGTTAAACAAGAAATAACAAAGAAAACATTGCCACTGAGTCCACTCTGACTTACAGTGACCCCATAGGATTCCAAGGCCCCAATGGATAAGCACTTGGCTGCTAACTGAAAGGTAGGTGGTTCAACCCACCAGCCGCTCCTCAGGAGAAAGATGTGGTCACTTGCTTCCATAAAGATTTATAGCCTTGGAAACGTTATGAGACAGGTGGACTCTGTCCTATAGTGTCCTATAGGAATCAACTTTACGATAATAGGTTAATATTTACAGAAGCAAATAGCCACATCTTTCTTCCAACAAGTATCTGGTGGGTTTGAACAGCCAATTTTTGGTCAGCACAGCACTGACCCATTGTGCCATCAGGACTCCTATTCCCAGGCTGGTACCCCAAAAAACCATACCTGGTGCTATAGAGTTGACTCTGATTCATAAGAACTCAATGTGACAGATTAGAATGGCTCCATAAGGTTTCCAAGGCCATAACTTTTATGGAATGTTTCTGCAATCAGATGGAGCTTGGCTGAAAGCAGAGACTACTGGGAAGATGTTTACTTGTGTTTTATTGACTATGCAAAGGCATTTAATGCGTGGAATCGTAACAAATTATGGATAACTTTGCAAAGAATGGGAATTCCAGAACACTTAATTCTGCTCAGGCAGAACCTATACATAAACCAAGAGGCAGTTGTTCCAACAGAACAAGGGGACACTGAATGGGTTAAAATCAGGAAAGGTGTGTGTCAGAGTTGTATCCTTTAACCATACTTATTCAATCTGTATGCTAAGCAAATAACCCAAGAAACTGGATTATATGAAGATGAAGTGGCATCAGGATTAGAAGAAGGCTCGTAGACAGCATGTACTATACAAATGACACACTTTGCTTGCTGAAAACGAAGAAAACTTGAAGCACTTACTGAAGATCAAAGACTATATATAGCCTTCCGTTTGCATTACAACTCAATGTAAGGAAGACACAAATTCTTACAACTGGACCAATAAAACAACATCACGATAAACAGAAAAGATTGTGAAGTTATCAAGGATTTCATTTTACTTGGATCCACCATTAACACTCATAGAAGCAGCAGTCAAGAAATCAAATGATTTTTGCATTGGGCAAATATGCTACAAAAGACCTTTTTAAAGCATTAAATAACAAAGTGTCAAATTGAGGACTAAGATGCACCCGACCCAAGCCAGGGTATTTTCAATTGCCTCATATGCATGCAAAAGCTGGGTAAGGGAGGCTGGAGGAGAATTAATGCATTTGAATTGCAGTGCTGGCAAAGAATACTGAGACCACCATGGACTGCCAGAAGAATGAACAAACGTGCTTTGGAAGAAGAAGGAAGGAAGATGAGATGTCTATACTTTGGACAATAACATATCAGGAGGAGCCAGTCTCTGGAGAAGAACATCATAGATGTTCATAAAGTAGAGGGGTCAGTGAAAAAGAAGACCTCCAATGAGATGGCTCAACACAATGGCTACAACAGTGGCCTCAAACATAGCAACAACTATGAGGAGGACACAGGGCTGGGCAGTATTTCGTTCCATTGTACACAGTGTCCCTGAGTCGGAACAAACTTGACGGTACTTAACAACATGGAAGCAGACTGCCACATCTTTCTCCTGAGGAGTAGCTGGTGGGTCCGCCTTTGGTTAGCAGCTGAGTGTTTAACCCCTGTGCCACCAGGACTCCTCCACAGGGTGGTTGTTGTTGCTAAGTACTGTTGAGTTGGTTCCAAGTCATAGTGACCCTGTATAGGGTTTCTGAGGAGCCACTGGTGGGTCTGAATTGCAGACCTTATGGTTAGCAGTCCAGTGCTGATCCTACAGTAGTACACCAGGACTCACAAATGGAATGATGGCCTGGTGACCACTGGGTGGAGGAGGGCACACTCAACTAGGTGTTTGGGAAATGGCGGATCGTATTGCTAGTAGGAGGCAGGATGGTAGAAGCCTGTGTTTGATCCACACTGTCTGGGGAGCCCCAATGTGTCCCTTCCCCAAAGTGTCTCTTGTACCCCAAGAAAGATCACACTGTACCCTCCCCGCCAAGCCAGGCCCTGGCAACTCCACTCTCTTTAGTTTTTAATCCCTAACTTGAGAAACCACATTCTGTCCCCCATGACAACCTCACGCGGTCCCCCCTGTTCAGATAAATCTAATCTATCCTGTTCCTTCCCCAGGCTTCAGACAACCCCACCAGGCCCCGGCTTGGTGACTGAGCCCCACCTGGTATAGTCCATGATGGTGTTGAGCCGGTGTGCGATGGTTAGCACAGTGGAGGTCTCAAACTGCGTGCGGATGGTGGCCTGGATGAGGTCATCCGTTTCCAGATCAATGGCAGCTGTGGCCTCGTCTAAAACCAGGATTCGGCTCTTGCGGAGCAGAGCTCGGGCCAGGCACACGAGCTGCCGCTGGCCAACGCTGGAAATGAGGAAGGCGGGCATCTGCAGTTTGGAGCCCAGACCTGCCTGCAGGCCTTGGTCCCCCAAGCTGTTTCTGTTTGCATTCCTTCCCCACAGCCAAGTCTGGCTTTCTGTGTGACCTCTCCAATCTCTGCCCCAGTGTAGCTCGCCCTGAAGCCCACAGCAGAGCCTGGAAGCCACAGGGAAGAGGAAGGCCTTTGGGAGTAAACTCAGTGCTCTACATCATGAAATCCCCCGATCTGTTTTTGTATCTTCAGTCTATACGTTCTTTGCTTTCTCCCCATCCTTACTCTTCAACTGGGAGCACAGTGGTTCTAGAGGGTAAGCACTGGGCAGTGAACCACAAGGTTGGCAGTTTGAGCCCACCAGCTGCCCCTCAAGAGAAAGATAAGGCTTTCTGCTTCTGCAAAGATGTACAGCTTGGAAACCCTAATACAGGGTTGCTACAGGCTGGAACCTACTTAACAACAACTCTTCAACCAGTGCCATGTTTCTCTGCTTCACCATTATCAGTCATTTACACCTTAGTAAGAACATGCTTATAGACTCATGGTATGGCGCTGTGAACCAGCTGTGTTCACACTGGACTGTGAACCAGAAGGTTGGCAGTTCAAACCCACTAGCTGCTCCTCAGAAATTCTATACAGATTCACTATGAGTTGAAATCGACTCAACAGCACTTAACAACAAGAACATTTTTAAGGAGTCCTTGTGGGGCAGCCCATTGAGTGCTTTGTTACCAATGGAAAGGTTGAAGGTTTGAACCTACCTAGTAGCTCTGAGGTGATTGGCTTCTATAAAGATGACAGCCAAGAAAACCCTATGACGGAAGTTCTGCTCTGTCACACGGGGTCACAGTGAGTAGAAATCCACTCAAAAGCACTTAACAATATGAACATGCTTCAATGGCTCTTCCTGGGTACCGTGCCGAATACACAATGCAAGCTGTCACCTAGAGCTCGTGGAGAAGAGCTCTGTTTCCAAAGCTGAGGTAAGGCAGGGAGAATCCAGGGACACCTGTGTCTGGTCACTAGGGGGGAGGAGGGCCAGGAGGCATACCTTCAACCTCCCGCCTGGGAAGCCAGAGCTTGTGCACAAAGCGAGGCTGTGTTCCCAACCCCAGAGACCACAGCACCCCCACACCCAAGGACAAATACCTGGGCCCTCTCCAAAGGGGTGAGTCACCACCGCAGGAACGAAGGCTAGGCTAGTATTCAGGCCCATTCCCGCAACTAATGAAGGTTTTGGCAACAGAATGAGCAACCACATAGAATTCAGGGCTGATTTATGGTGAGACTGGCACGGGATACAGCTTATACTTGTAGCAGCTGCTAGCTCAATGACGGAGAAGGGGAGAGGATTTCTGTCTCAGATCCTGTTGTGTGTGCTGTGGAGGAGTGCTCTAGGGTAGGTGCTGATAGCAAGTGGGATGTTGTTGTTGTTCTTAAGTGCCTTCCAGTTGCTTCTGACTCATAGCAACCCTGTATGGGGTTTCCAAGTAGTGGTTAATGAGTTTGAACTGCCGACCTTGCAATTCAAACCAAGCTTGCGGTTGAGTGTTTACCATACAGCAAATGGGATAAGAGATGGAAAACCAGCTCTGCAGTGCAGGATTTAGGGGTTTATGTGTGGCCGCCAGGCACCCCCAATGTGGTTATGTAACCGAAGGTCAGCTAACATACACATTCAGCCTTGAGTCCCACTGGTTAGATGGGTGAGGGAGATGACTTAGATCCAAAGAAGGAAAGGTTTAGGGCTAAAGCCCACCCTTCCCTGAGATCCCCTTCTGTTTCTTTGCTAGCTAAGCAACTGTGGGCATTTCAGATTCATAGGTCTGTAGGGAGGTTGATGGGATCATGGGGGTCCACATGCTTTAATATGTGAGTGCTGAGAAAATGTAAAGGGTTGTTTTGTTTGGGCTGGGAAGACTTCAGGGACATAGAATATAAACATAAACATAATAATAGTTAACATGTACCCACGCTGCTTCCATTCCATCACAGCGTCCCTCTGGCTGCTTATGACGAAGGCTACCAACCACACATGCCTATTGAGCACCTGAAATGTGGCAAGCCCACCTTGAGACATGCCGCAAGGCAGAAAGGTACACTGGATTCCAAATTTAGGATGAAAAGAGAATGCAAAATCCCTTGAATACTTTGTATTATTCGTTACAATTCATATTGAAATGAGCATGAATCAGTTGCCATTGAGTCAATTCGGACTCACAGTGACCCTATAGGACAGGGTAGAGCTTGCCCCACAGGGTTTCGAGGCTGTAAGTCTTTATGGAAGCAGATTGACACACCTTTCTCCCCAGAAGCAACTGGTGGATTCGAACCAGTGACCTTTCAGTTAGCAGCGGAGTGCTTAACTAGTATGCCGCCAGGTTCCTTGAAATGAACACAGTTTAGATATTTGTTGTTGTTAAGAGCCTTTGAGTAGGTTCCAACTCACAGCGACCCTGTATAGGGTTTCTGAGGAGCGGCTGGTAGATTTGAGCAGTTGACTTTGGCAGTTCAAATCAACCTTGAGCTCCAGTGCTTATCCTATAGCACACTAGGACTCCTAGTTCAGATAAACTGGACTAAATAAAACAAACTTTAAAATATATTTAAACTCAAAATATACTTAAATACATTTTATGATATTTTGCATTCTTTAACATAGTGGTCAGCAATTTGAAACTACCAGCTGTTCTGCAGGAGAAAGATGAGGCTTTCTGCTCCTGTAAAGATTATAGCCTCGGAAACCCTGTACAGGGTCGCTATGAGCAGAACTGACTCCATGGCCAGAGCTAACTGTGCTATAATACACTTATCTGATTTCTTGCTTCTTTTTACTTTCTCTTTTTAATAGGCTCACATGATACTTACTGCCTTTGGATAGCGTGATGTTAGAAGCATGGACTTACTATCTCAGTTTTAGAGTGAAGGAAAGGGAGGCACAGAGAGTTAAGCAGCTTGTTCCAACTCCCATAGCTAACACGGCTATGGGCACCTCAGACTGCAGGTTCAGTAAGAAGTGTCTCTGGTCCCTCCCTGATGCATAGCCCGAAGACTGGGCATATAAGCCCAGGCGTCCAGACCAGCTCTGGAGAAAGGGCTGATCCTGCTCAATTACAGGCCAGACAGCCTCTGCCTTGGAAAATGTTTGTAATTAGGCTAGTCCTTCCTCTTACCTGCTCCACAGGTTCCTCCACCCAGAGCCCCTTCCCCAGGCCAAGGATAGCCCTGACAGCCTCTTATGGGCCTGGCTCAGTAAGGCTTTGAAATATACTAGATTCACATCCCACGTCTGACGTTCTCCCAGCTGTGTGACTTTGGCCAAGGCCCTTATCCTTCCTCTCTGAGCCTCAGCTTCTTCATCATAGAAATGAGATTGTGGGCCATCCCTGGGCTTTGTGTGAGAAATCAGTGAGGTAGTGCCTGGTGCCTGACACATAGAACATGTTCAATACAAAACAATGCTGCTCCCAGTATACCAGCTGTTACCTGAGATTCTCCCCATTCTCGGAACACTGGAAGTCCAGGCCCTCTGGCTGGGCGCTCACAAAGGCATGCAGGTGGGACAGCTCCAAGGCCTGCCACATGTCTTCCTCCGAGAAATTGCCAAAGGGGTCCAGGTTCATACGCAGGGTCCCCGAGAACAGGATGGGGTCCTGAGGACACAACACAGCCCCAGAAGGAACCAAAAGAGAGGGATTGATCTCGCCCTTTCCTACTCTGCTCCTAGTCATCTAGACAGAGACACTGACTAAGCATAGAACTGCCTGCAGGAAAGTGATAAACCTCAGCTTAGTCAATCACTAAATCCTCCATTAAAGTAGGATTCAGGACCAGTAAGCTGGCTCCAGAGTGTCCAGTCAGCAGAAAAAACAAAGCCCAGAGGAACACATAAGAGTGAAATACAATTCAGAGGTGTGCCAAAAAGGAGGACGGCAGAACATCTCAGAACACTTGGGTTGGCTTCCTGTGGTCTTGCCGCACTTGCTATTCCAATACAGGGTCTGACTAGGCCACCAGAGTCTGACTCTTCCGGATCCGAGGCTGTGGTGGCTCCTCTGTGGCTATACTCCCTGCTGTCCAGCCCTTCCCCAGCCTGAATCCTCAAGCCACAGGTCAGTGTGGTCAGTCCATGCTAGGTTCATACCTGAGGGATGATGGTCAACTGAGAGCGCAGGTCATGGAGACCAAAGTCTGCCACATTGAGGCCATCGATGCGGATTTCACCTTCTGCCGCCTCCAGGATGCGGAAGAGGCAGAGGGTCATGGATGATTTGCCGGCGCCTGTGCGTCCCACGATCCCCACCTGGAGGGGGTGGGTGAGGGGCTCTCAGGGTGAGTGAGGAGAGCCCAAGGAGGCCTCTCCTAGAGAGGCTACTCTCAAGGACCCCTGACCCCCGAGTGCTGTGAGCACACATCCCCAGCACAAAGATCCACCCCACATCCTACCCCATAGTACCTTCTCACCACCGTGCACGTGCAGACTCAGGTTCTTCAGCACCAGGTCCAGGCCTGCCCGGTAGCGAACAGAGTAATTCTGGAACTCCACCTTACCATGTGAGGGCCAGTCTTTCGGGGGCCGGCTGCCCTCCACCACCCAGGGGGCCTGGATGAAAGAGGTGTGGCGTTGCCTCTTCCCCTGCCTGACCTTGTCACACTTCCACCTCCCTCTCTTCCAAGTCCTCAATCCTCAACCATTGCAGTCCTTGGGGGAAGGCCCCTGGCACCTTGTGGTTCAACTCTGCAGTTCAACAAACCCTTTATCCCCAGCTGCTTTAAAATGTCTACTTCCTCCGTGTCCCATAGTCCTGAGGCACTGCTCCAGCCCCACTTTCTCCATTCATTATTATCTGTGCCAGGTCCTGGGGATATAATGGGGAATAAGGCACAGTCCTTAGCCCTGTGAGCTTCATACTTTAATGGATGGCGGTGGTGGTGGATACATAACCAACCAATAGGCACATTTCTAGGTGATGATGCTCAGGGAGGAGACGGGCTTGCTGCTCTATAGAGAATGGTCAGAGAAGGCTGCCTGGAGAAGGTGGTATTTGAGTCGAGTCCTCACAGAGGTGAGAGCACAAGTCAAGTGGAGTTCTGGGTGGCAGCGCATGTGTCCCTGGGTGTGTGCTGAAGCTCAGTGAGAAAGGCAAACGAGTGAGGAGACAGAGGAGGTGCGTGGGCCCATCACATAACACCTTGATGATTTTGAGGACTTTTTTTGCATTGAGTAAATGCAGAGCCATCAGAGGGCTGCGCACAGAAGAGTGATGAGACATGATATGTTTGTAAAGGATCCTCTTGGCTGCTAAGGGGAAAATCGACGGTGTGGGGAGGGAGGGGGAAATCGGTTGTTAAATAGTTAAAGGTTGTTGCAATGATCTGGGTATGAGCTGATGGAAGTTTTGAGGCAGAACCAGTCACATAATTTGCAAGGCCTAGTGCAAAATGAAAATGTGAAGTCCTTTGTTCAAAAATGACTAAGAATCATAGGGTGGCAACAGCAGAGACTTAAACCAAGCATGAGCTCTTTCTAAGCCCCTGTGTGACTGCACACAGACTCATGAGCCAGCCTTGTCTCAAGGCAAGGGAAGCCAGACTGCTGGCAAAAAAGCAAAGCAAGTGTAGGCTGTTGTCTCCTGAGGGAGGATCCAAGATAAGAGGGTAGCAGGGTGGAAGTTGGAATCTTTTAGGATGGGAAAGGTGGATCATCTGTATGGGCTGGGACAACTGGAAAGTAGGCATGAAGGATGGGAGCAGCGGTGGCTCGGTAGTAGAACCCTTGCCTTCTTTACAGAAGACCTGGGTTCAGCTCCCAGCCAATGCTCCACATGCGTAGCCACCTCTCATCTGCCAGAGGAGGCCTGTGATGCTGCACAGGTGTCCGCAGAGTTTCCAGGCTAAGACAGACTAGGAAGAAAGACCTGGAGTTATACTCCCAGCCCCCTACCCCCACAAAAAATCAGCCAATGAAAACCTGATTATTGAATGTTTTGATCAGAGATTCTATAGAAGAATCCTGGTCAAAAGGTGGGGGAATGCAAAACAAAATTTCATGGGATTCAGACTTTCTGGAGTCATCGAGTCTAGATGAATTCCCCAAATCATTTTCCCTGAGATAATCTTTAAACCTTAAGCCAAAAATAATTCCATGAAAATATATCTTTTAAGCCAAACAGTAGCTTAATTAATAAGAAATGTCCCCTTGACTATTTTGCTCTTTTAAAAACTATTTATATGGGATCAAACTGACAAGTTAAAACATTAGCTAGGAAACTTATGGGGCAGTGAGTTTATGTTCAGAGAAGCAATTAGAAAAAGGAAGCTGAGAATGATTGTACAAATTGACGAATGTAATCAATGCCAACAAATTACACAACTGTTGAATTGGTGTATGTTCTGCTGTGTATATTCTTAACAACAACAAAGATTAAATTAAAATAAAATCGTGTACAGACCAGCCTATGGAGCAGAGTGGTCTGGTCCCATCGTGTGCGGAATGGGTGGCTGTGAGTTGAGATGGGGGGGGCTGACTTGATAGGAACTAACACCTAAGACAGACATGAAGAGGGGGGACGTGAAGATCCAGACGGGGTGGGGGGTGTCTGGAGATGATGGAGGTCATGGGGTAGAGAGGCCAGATCGAGAGGAATGGAGGCAGTCTGACAAGGCAAGAGCAAGGGTCCCGGAATCCATGAGACAGAGCTGGAGGTCCTGTCATCTAAGTGTCACTGAGAGGTTGTGTTAGATGAGGGTAGAAAGTCTCACCGAGACTCGGGACCTGGACGGTCACTGGAAAGCACTTTCAGTGGAGTGATGGGAACAGAAACCAGACTGCTACAGGCAGATGAGGGAAAGGAAAATGAGTACATGAAGATAAAACTCAACACTTGCTGTTCTCTCTGTTGCACTGCCCTTCCCCCAGATGGCCACTTGGTTTGTGGACCTCCATCAGGACTTAACTCAAATGTCACCTCCTTCAGGAAGTCCTCCCTGATCACCCTATAGAAAGCAGTGGCACAAAGCATATCTCCCTGAGTATTGGCACCTTCTTACACAATGGTAGTGGTGGCTGTGTGTCACGGAGTCAGTTGCAACTCACAGTGACCCTGTATAAGGTTTCTGAGGCTGGAAATCTTTTCAGGAGCAGAAAGCCTCATCTTTCTCCCATGGAGCTGGTGGGCTTGAATTGCGAATTGCTGCCTTTGTGGTAGTGATCCAATGGTCTCTCTCTCTCTCACTCTCTCTCTCTATGTATATATGTTGTTACTGTTGTTAAGTCCTGTTGAGTTGGTTCTGACTCACAGCGACCTCTGTATAGGATTTCTGAGGAGTGGCTGGTGAGTTTGAACTGCCAACCTTGCGGTTCAAACAGACCTTCCAGTCTAGTGCGTATCCTACAGTGCCACACCAGGACCCCATACATGGCGGCGGTGGTGGTTGTGTAACATTAAGTGAATTCCGACTCATAGCGACCCAGTATAGGGTTTCCAAGGCAGAAAGCCTCATCTTTCTTCCTCGGCGCAATTGGTAAACTCGAACTACTGACCTCATAGTTAGGAGCTCAGCTCGTAATCCACTATGCTACCAGGGTTCCTTTCTAACATACTTGTTGTTGTTATGTGTCGTGGAGTTGGTTCTGACTTATAGCAACCCTGTACAGGGTTTCCGAAGCTATAAATCTTTACAGGAGCAGAAAGTCTTATCTTTCTCCCACGGAACAGCTGGTAGTTTCGAACTGCTGACTGTGAGATTAGTAGCCTGATTCATAACCACTTTTCTAGATTCAGAGCTCCTTTTCTAGAAGTGTGTTTATTTGTTGATTGTGTGTCTCCCCCTATTAAAGTATGAGGTCCATGAAGTAATGAGGATGTGGATTCTTCATGTTTAGCATTCCAAATTTTAAGCAAGCTTTATGACGAAGGAGAGTGGAAGATGGGGCAGTAACTGGCATGGGATGTAGGGGAGAGAGATGGTTGGTTTGGTTTGTTTAGAATGAGAGATATGATAGCATATGTTTTCAGGTGGATGGGAATCACCCACCAGAGGGGAAAGATTTGTGATACAAGAGATCAAGGGCATAAATGAGGAAGTCAAGTCCTTGAGTGGCAATGAGAAGTAGAGGGCCTGAACTCTGCAACAATGAGAGACATTTCCTGCTAAAAGAGAGGAAGGAGAAAATGAAGACGGCAGGCTTGAAGATCTTGAGGCAGAAAGGTTGCGGGGGTTCATGTTTTATGACCGATTTTCTCATTAAGTGGCAAGCAAGCTCCTCAGCTGGGCACAAGGGAGAAGGAGATGTCGGAGTTTGAAGAGATAGAATGTTTGAAACAGCTCTCTCTGAAAGTGGCAAGACCTGCCTATTGGAGAGGCCGAGTAGGAATGCCCAGTGGTGATGTGTGGTTATAATATTTGAAGTTAAATCAGCGATTTTTTTCCCAGCAACATTTTAGCTGCTCAGTGTAGGCGTGAAGACGTAGACAGATGGGCTCACCTGGGTTTGGGGTTTTGTAGATGAACACAACTGAGAGAGAGAGAGAGACCAACAAGGTAGTTGAAAGCATTTGTGTTGAAGGAACTTAGATTCTAGGCTAGATGGGAGGGAGATAAAGCCATGAGGACCCAATGGACAGAGACAAAGGTAGGTTCCCAGGATTGGGGCTCCCCATGAGGACAAAGTCTTATAATACAAAGTGGTGACCTGAGACACGTGGACTGGGATAAGTGGGTTGGGGTCGTCCAAAAGTGGGCTATCTGACATTGAGCTCTCTGAGGTGGTGGGGTTTCTGGATGAAGTGGTCTAGGGTGCGGCTATGGGAGGCAATGGGTGGTAAAAAGAGGACAGCTCCCTTTCCTTAACAATGTCATACTGTCCCCTCTGTATCTTCAACCAGTCTGATCTCTTTGGTTGAAATGCTCATCTTCCCACTGCCCCATCATTCCTCACCCCACCATCTTACCAACCCTCCCATCCTTCAAGTTCACCCCAGCTGAATGATCCTTTCTTCTCTACCATCTTTGGGTGCACCACCCTTGAGCTCTTGCTATCTACTGCTGATCCCTCAGTATGTCTTACCTCTCCCATTGAATCAGAATCTGCTTGAGGGCAGGCCCCGATTTGCTGAACTTGAACCCTTTGCAACTCTAAGCATAGAGTTGGACCTTTGGTTGATAAAAGTAAAAGTTGAGTGGATGGATGGATGAATGAATGAAGAGCTAACTGAACAGTTGACCTTGGGGTATAAGAGTGGCAGGCCACCAAGTCCCCTTCCCCAGGTATTCCAGATGTATTGCTGGGCTCATCCTGGTACCTACCTCAGTCTCTGTCTTGGTGTACTCCGTGACTCTCTCCACAGCCACAATGTTAGACTCCAAGTCTGACATCATTCGTACCATCCAGTTCAGAGCAAATGTCACCTGGCCAAAGGAAGTGGATCATGTGAAGGGAGAATGCCCCTGTGTCTGCTACACACACAATGGTTTGGGTAAGAGCTCTGCCCCTTCCCCCCGCTTATTCCATCTATGACCCAGGTGGGTCTAGACAAGATCACAGAAGTGCTACCTGGTGACCTAACACATCTGTGCACTAGGTGGTAATGACTTAGGTTTAACCAAGGACTGTCTACCCCATTGCTTCTCAAACTTTCGTATGCATAGGACCTTCCTTGTGATTCAGTTTGTGATTCGGTCGGTAGGGTAAGACCTGAGAGTCTGTGTTTCTGAGAATGGTGATAGTGATGGTATGGTGATGGTGATGTGATGCAGCTGGTCCATGGACCACACTTTGGGTACCAAGGAGTCTTGATAGAAGCACAGAATCCCAAGCCCTACTGAATCAGAATCTGCATTTGACCAAGATTCCTGTGTAATTGACACAGGCATTAAGTTAGAGAACATTGGTCTATCTGGACTGGACTGATTTTTATTGACGCAAGCACTCAATACTCCAGCCACAGGAGAAAATGTGATCCACTTTGCAAAATATCCATTTGCAGGACTTGACCCTTTCATAACACAAGCTGGTAGCATCAGCATCGGTCTGACCTCCTACACAGATTTGTGTCCCCAGATCACCTCTGAATTCTCTCTAGGTACGTGAACACGTATTACAGCCTTGCCTTCTCCTGCCCCAGGACTTCTGCCAGGTGACCTTCTACACCTTGTCCATAGCCAGGACATGTTCTGCTTGTCCTTTGAGGCCAATTTCATTTCTCTAACACCCCAAGCAAAGAAACTCCTCTGGGTTTTCACACACAGTATGTTGTTCCACCCTCCGCAAAGTCCTACTCACCCTACATTGTGGTCCCTGTTGATGCTACTGTCTCCCCACACTCAACTCTGAGCGCTTGGGAGCAAAACCCATAACAGACAGACAAAAGGCACTCGGGAAATGCTGTGACACCTATGTGACTTCTGGCCCAGTGGTGGCCCTGCCATGGGGCCCAGGCCCCTCCTTACCTGCAGGGCATAGGACACAGAAAGGCCCACCAGGCCCGGACTCAAGTTGCTTCTCCCAATCACCGCAAAGAGCGCAGCAAACAACACAACACAGTTTCCCACGAACTCCACTCGGATGCCCAGCCACCTATGGGGAACCAGACAAGGACATGCGGCAGGAGGTCTGTTTGGGATCCAGAGCACTGGGGTCCCTGCAGAAAGCCCCTGGTGGGACATCTTGGTGGAGTGGAGTAGGGGAGAGGCTTCTGACCGGTTGGAGATGATGTAGGCATAGCCACTCTTCTGGTTGGTGTCCACCTTCATGTCACTAATAGCCACGAAGTCCTGGTTACGGCCGTAAGCCCGAATGACACTGGCACCAGTCACCGTCTCCGAAAAGTGAGAGTAAATGGGTGAGCGACTGACCGATTCCAGCCGCTTCAGTTGTCTTGAGGTGGCCACATAGAGACGCTGACAGGCACAGGAGAAAGAGCTTGGGGTCAGGACCACAGAACTGATTCAGTTCAGCCCACCCTCAGACCCGCCCACTCCCCAGGCCTTCCTCCCAGCTAGTCACACTCCCCTGAGATCTTGTTCCCTTCCCAACTCCTCAAGAACCTTTGAATTGGGTTCCTAATGTGGCTCCCTGAACTTTCTCTGCCCTTTTCCCCTGTTAGCTCTGCTCATTCTTGTAAGTTACCTTCCTACATGAATTCTGATTTCTTTCTCAGAATGGCCCCATCACCCTCTTAGGGAGCCTGGAGGGGGTTCCTGAGCCAGCAAACATGCCTATCTCTACTTAAGGGGCCTGGGAATGCGCTCACACAGTAAAATGCTGTTTTGCAAAATTTGCCAAAATAAGATAATTTCATATTTTTTTCCTTAAAGAGCCTCTCCCCTGCATTGTTTAAACTTTAACCCTACAACAATAGAGCTCTATCTCTAGTTTCCGTCTTCTGCTCTGTGGGCACCAAGATGGCCAGAGCTGTATGGGATGTGAACTCAGACAAAGATGCTGAACTTCTATCCACCTTGGAATATACCTACATCAACTCATTAACTAATGCAGGACATGACTTTTGCAGTTGTTAGGTACTGTCCAGTTGGTTCCAACTCATAGTGATCCTATGCATAATAAAATGACACACTACCCCGCACTTCGCCATCGTCACAATTGGTACATTTGAATCTATTGCTGCTACCACAGTGCTAATTCATCTAGTTGTGGGTCCTTCTCTTTTTCGCGGACCCTTCACTTTATCAAGCATGATGCCTTTCTCCAGGGACTGATCCCTACCAATAACATCGAGAGATGAAGTCTCACCATTCTGGTTTCTAAGGAGCATTCTGGCTATACTTCTTCCAACACAGATCTGTTTGTTCTTTTAGCAGTCCATGGCACTTTTAATATTCTCCAACACCACAACCCAAATGCATCAATTCTTCTATGGTCTTCCTTATTTGCTCTCCAACTTTCACATATTATGTGGTTGGTGGTAGTGTGCCGTGTAGTCGGTTCCGACTCATAGCGACCGTGTACAGGGTTTCCGAGGCTGTAAATCTTTATGGGAACAGAAAGTCTCATCTTCCTCCCGTGGAACAGCTGGTAGTTTCGAACTGTTGACTTGTGGTTCACAGCCTGATTCATAACCACTATGCATGAGGTGATTGAAAATACCATGGCTTGGGTCAGATACAACTTTCGTCCTCAAACTGAAATCTTTGCTCTTAAACACTTTAAAGAGGTCTTGTGTACCAGATTTGCCTAATGCAATATGTTGTTTGATTTCTTGACTTCTGCGTCCCCGAGGGTTGATTGTGTATCCAAGCAAAGTGAAATCTTTGACCGCTTCAATCTTTTCTCCATTTACCATGATGTGATTTACTGGGTCCAATGGTGGGGATCTTTGCTTTCTTTACTTCAAGGTGCAATCCATACTGAAGGCTGTAGTATTGATCTTCATCAGTAAGTATTTTAAGTCCTCTTCATTTCCAGCAAGCAAGGTTGTATCATCTGCATATCGCAGTTAGCTGTAGCTATATGAAGGAGCCCTGGTACCAATGAAGGATAAGCATTGGGCTGCTAACTGCAAGGCAGGCAGTTCAAACCCACCAGCTGCTCCCTGGGGAAAAGATGAGGCTTTCTGTTCCCATAAAGATTTACAGTCTTGGAAACCCTAAAGGCTCACTGAGAGTAGGAACGACAAGAGGGTAGTGAGTTTGTTTTTTGGTTTGGTAGCCATATGCTATCAATCCACATATATTAAAGACATACATATGCATCTATAAACATATATGTCTGGATATGTATGAAAAGTGGGGAGAGAGAATATTTTCCCAATTGTTAACAATGTTTTATTTAAAAAAACCGCTAACAGGTAGGCTGCAGAGGGACACAATTGATAGGACTCTCTCATTTTATCCTTGTAACAACCCTGTGAGGTAGGTTTTAAGAGTTTTACAGGTGAGAAAAATGAAGAGGTGAAGTATTTCAAAGAGGTGTAGTAACTGACATGCACGTCTCACCAAACCCCACTGCGACCTACACTCACCTCCCATCATTCCACTGCCAGAGACGACCCTCCCTCAGGCCTCACCCTCCACAGGGCCACGCCCTCCACATGGCCACGCCCACCACAGGGCCACGCCCTCCACAGGACCACGCCCTCCACAGGACCACGCCCCAGCAGCCCACCCACTCCAGCCAGGCCTCTTTTGAGCCACAGGCGTTTGCACACCTGCACGAAGGTGTAGAGCGCAGCTAGGGGCAAGATGACTGTGGCAAAGAGTGGAGTGCTGATCAGGATGACCACGACGGTGGAGACGGAGTTGTAGAAGGCATCGAGCAATAGTTGGATGGTATGGGACAGGACCTCATCGATGACGAAGATATCCTTGGAGAAGCGGTTGAGGATACGGCCTGAGGGCGTCGTGTCGAAGAAGGACTGTGGCGAGCGCAAGATGTTACGCAGCAGTGCCTGGTGCAGCGATCTAGCTGCTTGGACACCGCCCATCGCTATCATGAAGGCCGACAACATTACTAGGAGCCCTGGTGGGGAAGGCAAAAGATGGGCGCGCTTATCTGGACTTGGGGGCAAGGTTGGAGGGGCACTGAAGGGCAGGTTCACAGACAGGGGAAAAGCTAGATGGAGCTAGGGCATGATTCAGAGAATGCCAGAGATGAGGTAGGAACGGATAGAGTCTCTTCCTGGTAGCCTCCACTCACCTTGCAGGATTCCCAAGCTGGCATAGACACTCAGTCTCCAGGAGGTGTTGTTCTGGTGACCACCCATTGTGGCCTCATTGGTCCAGGCACTGAGCCATATGTTGGCCCCAATGATGGCTGCACTTTGACCCATATGCAGAAGACAGATAAACAACATGGTGCAGAGCCCAATGGCCTTGATGTAATCCCAGAACACATTCATCTTTACCTGCAATCAGTGGATGGGAACAGAGGGCCATCATCAGCCCCAGGATTTTACTGTGGGCCTGTCCACCCTGTCCATCCCTCCTTTGCCATCCCACTCACAGTGCCCATCTCCTCCTTCTCCTCCTGGGTCAGTACCCCCTTCGCCTTTGCCTCTGTTGCCGGCACCACCTTCTCTGCTGGACCCAGATGTCTCCGGGACACAGACCACCCAGGACCTTCCCCATCCGAGGACATGGTGCTCAGCTGTCTGCAGAGATAGACAATCAGGTCAGGAGGAGTGCTCTTTGACACACCTACATCACCAAGTCCCAGGAGGAGGGCCAAGGCTGAAACCATGGGCTCAGGGTGTGAGTGTCAGGGACAAGGTCCACTTGCACCCCATCTGGCTGGCCTGGGGTGCCTGGGTGCAACCTCTGGGAGGTGAGGGCAGGAATGGGGTCTGTCAGGTGCTCACCTCATAAACTGCTTCCGGACCTCATACATGATGGGCTCGTTATCCGTAAGGTCTGTGTGGTTGCTGAGTGTGTCTTCGATCAGCAGTACCTCCTCATCCTCTGCACCTTCCAAGGCTTCTGAGGGGTGGGAGGAAGTAGACACAGGCTGACTAGTTCACTTTTGAGCCCCTGGAATCCCCCATCCCCACTCCAATGGAAGGGTCTGAATGGACAAGCATGAGAGAAAATGAGAGGGCGGAAATGGCAGCCAGGTAGACAGATTAGACAACAGGGAAAACTTCCCTTCAGGAACAGTGAGGGAAAGGACACAGGTAAGGTTGGGAGCTTGGACTCGGGTCATGTTGTGGTTAGTGTCCTGAAGTTGGTTCTGATTCATAGTGACCCTGTATAGGGCAGAGAGCCTCATCTTTCTTCCACAGAGAGGCTGGTGGGCTTGAACCAACCACTGACCTTGTGGTTTGCAGTCCAGTGTTTATCCTATGGAGCTACTGCATCTCCCCTTATTACATGCATTGTTGTTGTTAAGTGCTATGGAGTCAATTCTGATTCGTAGCGACCGTGTATAGGATTTCTGAGGAGCGACTGGTGGGTTTGAACTACTGATCTTGTGGTTAGCAGTCTAGTGTTTATCTGACAGTGCCAGATAGGTGGCTTAATAATATCTTTGCTAAGGATCCCTAGTTGCTTAACAGTTAAGCACTCAACTGATAGCTGATAACTGGTTCAAATCAACCCAGAGGCTCTTCAGGAGAAAGACCTGTGGGACAATTCTACTCTGTCACAAGGGTTGTTGTTGCTGTTAAGTGCCATCGAGTCGGTTCTGACCCATAGCGACCCTGTACAGGGTTTCCGAGGGTGAGCTCCTGTCACAGGGGTAGCTATGAATAAAAAATGGACTCCATGGCACACAACAAGAAACGTTTTGTTCGTGGCATGACTGAGAAGGCAGTAGGCAAGAAGACCCCGGAAAATGTCTGTGAGCCAGCCTAGAGTTTGGGGTTGGGGGTTGGGAATGTCCTATGAACTCAGAGACTTACTTCAATATGCCCCAGGAGGGTAGGGACTCCTTAGGTTTGTTCACTACTATGACAAGGAGATAGCAGTGCCTTGTTGTTAAGTACTATCAAGTCTGTTCTGACTCATAGTGGCCCTATATAGGGTTTCCGAAGAGCACCGGTGAGTTTGAACCGCCAACCTTGAGGTTCAAATCGACCTTGTGGTCCAGTGCTTACCCTATAGCGCTACACCAGGACTCTACAATGCCTAGACCATAGTAATGGTTCAATAAACGTTTGACAAATAAATGGCCGTTGAGAACTTACACATTTGCCAGACAGTATATCTATGAACAGCTCTACCATATAAGCTGAGCCTGGGTCCTTAAGCCCTTTTGAAACTCTGTGGAAAAACCGAGACTCCAAGACCTGGTCCCCCAGTTACAGAAGAGGAGGAGGTGAGACTTGGCCTCTGGTGGTGTCTACAGTCACACAGGTGGTTCCAGAGTATCCTTTGTTTAATCATGGGCCAGTCCAGAGAAACTCAGAGACCAGAGACAGGGAGCTGCCTGGAGAAGACAGGAATACATGGGCAGGGGTGGGGGTACCGATCCTACTGTCTTCCCAGTGCCCCTCATCCTCCTCAGGTGCATAGTTGCGGATGAAGTCAGCAAAGGAGCCGTTGCGTTGCAGCAGGGTTGTGTAGGAGCCGGCCTCAGACACTTGTCCATCAGCTATTACTATGATGAAGTCCATCTGGGGCAGGAAGCTGACTCCGTGTGTCACTAGCACCCGCGTCTGGGGAGAAGGCAACGATCTCTTGCCCCCTTTGTCCTCAGCACACCACCCAGAATAGGCACAGAGCCTCGGAGTGAGAGTATCTACAAACACTGACGGGCACACCAGGGTTTAACCCTGGCTCTCTGCAGCCTGTTCAATGCCTCCAAGGGTGTTCCCCGCCACCCCACGGACTCTCAGATGTCCAGATAGCCCCAAATCTCCACTTAGCCTATTACAGGCCTCACCTTGCTGGCCAGCATACCATCTGGTCCAATGACTTGGTCGAAGATATGCTTGGCCACATGGGAGTCCACAGCTGACAGGGGATCATCCAGTAAAAATATGTCAGCGTCACTGTAAACAGCCCGAGCCAGGCTGACCCGCTGCCGCTGGCCCCCGGACAGGTTAATGCCCTGCGGGGAGGGAGAAGGTGGTTACTGGGCAGGAGGGGGCCCCGACAGGCACAGGGGGACAGGTCCCTCTGAATCATATTCCATATGCCTGGTCCTGTCCCCTTGAAGCATCCTTGAGGGAGGACCATGGCTCTCAGAGTCCCCCTGGGCAGGTGAGGACAGTCTCCCTGCTCTGCACCCCCATCCTGCCTGTCTGGCTTCTCTGCCTTCCACCTTCAGACTCTGGGAGGCTGGGAAGCCCCAGGAGGCCCCTAATAGGCCTATTAATCAACCATTGTCCATACAGTTTGCAAACGGCTTTCCTAACAATTATCCCATTTGGTACTCACATCAGTCCTCCCAGTGAGGTATCATTATCCCCACTCTAGATGAAGAAATTAGAGCCCAAGATGTTAATAGCTTTGTCCAAGGTGCTGGGTCATTAAGGGAAGAGGTGAAGATGGGAACCCAGGTCTGATGACTCGGGCATCAACCCTAGAAATCATCACCCCCTTGATTGGTCAACTGCTTAAGGTGAGGTAAGCTCTTGCCTTAAACTCATGGTGGGGGAGCTGGGGCATACTGAGGTATGGGTGGGCCCAGATGACTCCACTGCAGAGCTAAAGTCTACTCTCCTGCCATCAGTCCCTGCATGGTAGGGTACCTGAGTAACTGAGCTCTGGAAAAAGCAGCGGGGGTGCGAGAACTAATGGCCTTGGGGAGAAGCTGGGGGGCCCACAGGCAGCTGTAGGGGCTGAGGATGGGATCATCCCTACATTTGTGCATTTAACCAACTTTCTTCCTGAAGCGCCTTCTGTGTGGTGATGGTGGGGAAGGTGCCCCGCCAGGTACATTCTGACTCACAGTGACCCCCATGTGGCAGAGTAGAACTTCCCCATAGGGTGTTCTAGGTAGTTCTAGGTACTAATTTTATGGAGTCCTGGTGTGGCACTGAGAGATAATGTGCTGGAACACAAGGTCAGTTTGAACTGCAAGGTCAGCAGTTCAAACTCACCAGTTGCTTCTAAGAAACCCTATACAGGGTGGCTGAGTCAGCACCGACTTGATGGCACATATAGCAACAATTATATGGAAGCTATTTGTCAGTTCTTTTTCCACAGAAATGGTGGCTTCAATCCCCCAACTTTTCGACTAGCATCCAAGCACCTAACAACTGTGCCACCAGATTTGAGTCTGGAATGCTCGTTGCTGTAGAATATTGCCTGGCACATTAAAAAAAACAAACAAACAAAACCTGTTGCTATAGACTGAATTGAATTCCCAGGCCTGGTGACCCAATGTGGAACGGAGTAGACGTGTGCCACAGGATTTTCTTTGCTGTGATCTTTACCGAAGCCAATGATCAGGCCTTTCTTTTGCGGAGCCACTAAGTGGGTTCAGAGTTCCATTAGCCATTGTTGTTAAGTGCTGCCAAGTCGGTTTCAACTCAATGACCCTGCCTGGGGTTTCCTCGGTGGGTTTGAACCATCCTCCTTGCTTATCCTACAGCACCACATGAGCAAATTATTTGTGCCAGTCAGGGACCTTATGCCTGCCTAGCACAGAGTGTTATGATGTGCCGCCAAGTCATTTCTGACTCATAGCAGCCCTGTATAGGGTTTCCAAGGAGCGGCTGGTGAATTTGAACTGCCAACCTTGAAGTTCAAACTGACCTTGTAGGCCAGTGCTTTATCCCACAGTGCCACACCAGGACTAGGTGTTTAATAAAAACCTGGCCAGCTGTTAAGATTCAGCTAAAATATGATGCATTTCCATATGTAGATTCGCTGGTCTGAGCTTCCTGTCCCCCTGCCCAGAGCACCCTACCCAAAAGCCCAATTCACTGCCATCGAGTCATTTCCAGCTCATGGTGGTCCATAAATCTTTATGGGAGCAGATAGCCTCATCTTTCTCCTGAGGAGTGGTTGGTGGGCTTGAACCACCAACCTTACAATCAGCAGCCCAATATCTAGCCCACATCACCACTGGAACTCCTTAGAGCGCTCTGTAGCCCCTACTTATTCATATGTCAGTGTTCCCCAGTAATAGATCCATTTCCCCAGTACAGTCACCAAACGGGATCTGATCTTACAGGAATGTGCACGAATGGGTGGGTGGCAGAAGCAAATGGGTGGCTGCAGGAATCAATGTGTAGAAAGACTGAGATGGCTGAAGGAGGGCAGCTGTATGCACAGCTCCGCAGGGTTGGGAGGGAGCGTTGTACCTTCTCTCCAATTTCTGTCTGGTCCCCCCCTGGCAGCAACTCCAGGTCAGCCTGCAGAGCACAGGCCTCCAGAGCCCGTTGGTAGTGCTTGGGGTCCAGAGTGCGGCCAAACAGCACGTTTTCTTGAAGAGTGGAGTTCTGGATCCATGCCTGCTGGGGCACGTAGGCCACAGAGCCCTGGCAGTGGGAAGCAGTTACATCAGGGTTCACCCAGGGCCTTGGCCACGCCCCCAGAACCTTGGCCATTCACCTTCCCTGGAGCCCTCACCCTTCTCACCTTCACGTTCACCTTGCCTTCCAGCTTCTCCATGTCCCCCAGCAAGGCAGACACCAGGGAGGACTTCCCACAGCCCACAGGTCCCACCACCGCCACCAGTGTCCCCTTTGGCACCTGGATGTCTAGGCTGGGGGCAAGAGACCAGGAGTCCAGTCAGAGGCGCGATCTGCAAGGCAGGTGTTTGGCCCCCAACCCTCCACTGGAGACCCATGTTTCTTGGTTTCCAGTTACCACTCTGGCAAGCTAAGGCTCTTCCTATAACCAGGGCAAAGACTTGGGCTCACTTTGTTGTTATTGTTGTGGGGTGCCGTTGAGGCATTTCTGACTCATAGGAACCTTGTATAGGGTTTCCAAAGAGCAGTTAGTGGATCTGAACCGCCGACCTTGCGGTTAGTAGCCCAGTGCATATTCTATAGTGCCATACCAGGGTTCCATCGGGCCCACTTTAGCTAGCTGCAAAAGGACTGGGAGAAACTGGTACCTGTGCAGGGTGGGAGGCAGGTCCTTGGCCCAGGTGAAGGTGCCATTGTCTATGGTGATGGCATAACCTGGGAGGATCAAAGTGGACTGAGGTCAGAAAGCCCCAGGGAGGGGAGAGAGCACAGGAAGGCCTAGAGGAGGTGGGGGGCAGGAAGCTTGGGAAAGGGGGTGGGGAGAGGTGTGGAAAGCCCGGGGGTAGTGTAGGGGAGTCCTAGGGGCAGAAGGAGAATGAAGGGAGCCCTGAGAGATCATGGGAGAGAAGAGTAGCGCATCGAGTTAAAGCAGAAGAGGAAGAAGAAAAGGTATCTGAAGAGAAACCTTGGGAAGCATGCAATGGAGGAGTTTCTGGAGCAATGGCTGGGGCAAGGGCAGCCAGGGAGAGGCTCTTGGACCTGGGGAGATGGCCCTTCTATCCACACACTCAGGGTCAAGTTCATCTTGGCTCAGGAAATGCTGGATCCGTTTCAGGGACACGCTGGTCTGAAGGAGGGGGTGAGTCAGCCCTGAAGGAAACCCTCTTACCTGTTCCATCCCCTTACTCCTGCCTAGTCCCCAACCTCCTGAGCTAGGCTAGGGCCCCTAGGGGTCCCTCCCACAACAGAATCACCTATGACTCCCACTGCCCAAGGATAAGGACAGACTGGTAAGAACTAAGGTTTCCAAGGATCCGATCTGATCTAACCTCTGACTCCAAATGATGTCTGGTCCTAATGACCTCATTCAGCCATGAACAAATCTCCATAGTGTGGACAAGGCCCCTGACTGATTTCTCCCTGATCCTGACCCTAACTGACCTCTGCCCTGATGCCAACAGAGCTGCAGTCCACCCAGCAGAAGTGCAGAGGTCAGTGTTACCTGGATCATGCTGCTGACCAGCTGGGGCAGCATATTGAGGGGCATCTTCAAGATATTGAACAGAGTCAGGGACACAAAGGCCTTCTCAGCATCTAGCACATTGTTCTGGTCCACAGACACGTACACTGCCAGAGTGGTGATGGTTACCTGGGCAGCAGTGGGGGTAGGGCATCAGGGCAGCGTCCCAAGGCTCCAGTCATACTCAGCGGCCCAGAGGTCTGGGCTGGCCAAGCAGGGAGAACCTCACCATGAAGGGGGTGCAGATCCAGACGAAGGTGGAGATGGCATGCAGGAGGGTAGCCTTGCGCAGCAGCTGGAGCTCGCCCTGTCGGATGCCCTCCACCTGCTCCAAGAAGCTGGGCTCCCAGGCATACAGCTTCAGCACCTTGATGCCACCCAGAATCTCGCTCATCAGCTTGATGCGGGCATCCTTCAGCTTCATCTGCTCCACCTGCATGGCAGAAAAAGGGGCCGTGGCCTGTTCTGCTCCCCTCCTCAGACCTCCTACCTACTGGGGGCTGCTCTGACTGGGTGCCCCCCATCCTCCTCCCTCCTCCCTGCCTGCACTGTGTTCTCTGTCTGGGATGCCAACTGCACCCTGCTTGGCAACACAGCTCCAGCCTCAATCCACCATCACCTACTCTGGAAGGCAGTGTCCTTGCCTTTCCTTACCCCTTCTGCTTTCTAGAGCTTGTTGATAATGATCACTTTGCACACATTTCCTCCGTAGACTGTGAACTTCCTGAGGATAGGGGTCAATTCTAATTTATCTTTGTTCCCTAGACCCTAACCCAGGGCCCAGTACCAGCTGTCACTGAGTTAACTCCAACTCATGTGTGCAGTAAACTGCACCCAACCAGGTGTTCAAGGGTTGGTTTTTCAGAAGTATATCACCAAGACTTTCTTCGAAGGCACTGCCGAGTGGACTTAACCCTCCAACCTTTCAGTTAGCAGTTGAGCTTATCAACCATTTACACTACCCAGGGCCTCCCAGGGCCTCATACCAAGCTGATGTATTCATTAAAGCCCTGTTTAGGAGTGCCTATACTATGTGGAGTCCTGGTGTGGCACTGTGGGTTAATGCGCCAGACTGCAAAGCCATCTGAACTGCAAGGTCAGTGGTTCAAGCTCACCAGCTGCTCCTTGGAAACCCTATACAGGGTCGCTATGGGTCGGAACTGACTCGACAACATTTAACAACAACAACAAACAAGGAAGACCAGTTAATACCACCGTTATTCAAATGCAAGCACCAACAACTAAAGCCGTGCTGATGAAATTGAAGAATTCTACCAATTTCTTCAAACTGAAATTGATCAAACATGCAATTAAGGTGTATTAATAATTACTGGCGATTAGAATGCAAAGGTTGGAAACAAAGAGGAAGGATCAGTGAGTGGTTGGAAAATAATGGCCTTGGTGATAGAAATGATGCTGGAGATCGCATGATAGAATTTTGCAAGACCAGTGACTTGTTCATTGCAAATACTTTTTTAAAAACAATATAATAGACAACTATTCACATGGACCTCACCATGTGAATGTTGTTGTTGTTGTTGTTGTCAGGTGCCATCGAGTCGGAACCGACTCATAGCGACCCCATGCACAGCAGAACGAAACAAT